AAGGAGACAATTTTAGAGAAGAAAATTTGTCCTATCCTACCTGGATTCGAACCTGGGACCTTTGAATAAGAGGCGAACACCTTAACATCTAGGCCACGAGAGCCCCCACTCTCTAACTCGTAACACAACATCTGAAGCAAAGGTGTCAATAATAACAACAACACATCATCGTCAACAATAATAGCAACAAGGGTAATGACGACGATGTAAACAGCCTCAGTAACAATAACAAACAAGCGCAAACTCATTGTTCTTTATGTTTGTAATTACTATTATCAATATTTTTGGTAGAAACGGAGATGGACCAGAAAAAAGACAAAAAACGTACATGTAACAATAATACACGTACTAACCGTTTATACTCCCCTGAGGCGTTCGCCTCTCATTCCATAGCCCCGGGTTCGAATCCAGATAACGACGGAACATTTTCTTCCCTAAAATGTTCTCCACTCACCTCCCTTCCTGCTCTCTAACAATGTTCTGTCGTCTGCTTTCGTGTGCCCTCTCTGCCCCCACCCCCTCTCCTCCTTTACTTCACCCCCTCCCCTGGGCTCATGACTCTTTCTGCGGCATTTCCTACTGCTGCTCCTTTGCTCCTTCCTACTGCTGTCTTTCAGCCACACCCCTGATCTTATAGTTGGTAAGATATACACCAAGCCTTCTTAGATCAGGGCGAAAAATCTAGGAGATTCTGTGTTGAAGTTGCGCTTGTTAAAGATCCCCTGGTGGTCCAAAATCGATGAGAGTAGGCTTCGGCCGCCACCCGGGCAAAGTTGAAAAATTCTTAATCCTACCAACTGAAAATGTTTAATGTGTCCCTCGTGCTCATATGGTCTTATGCAGTTGCTAGAGCCGTAAAACGGTTACAAAAAAAAAGAAGAATAAAAATAGCCTATAACCTACACCCTCTTTTCCTCGCCTCCAGCTTCCTTGGTCTTTGCTTTGATGAATTACTGACAGTGTCGATGGGAACGCAAAAACAGATACCGATACATTAGGGAAAAAAACAAGGTCTATACAAAACCAAACAAAATGCAAAAAAGAGATATACACATGCGGTCACTTTTAAGGACAAGCGGGATAACCCAGATTTCGGGGGTTTCCACACAACCTTGACCAACCTCAAAAGTGGGCATTGCCCTACCTGTTGGAGAAGTTTGGTTTCATTGGTGTATATATTTGTTTGGTTATAGAGTAGAGAAAACTCTCCTTGTCATTTAAAGAAACTGAGCAAGGGTCCAAAAACTTTATGAACTTCGATTTTCTCAAAACAGCATTTTTCCGGATAGCCACATTGTGCTTAAAACTGTCACCGTCGTTTTATGCAAGAAAAATTCTGAAATTATGCAAACTGAGCCCAAAAATGTGAAATTATGCGACTATGTTAATTTTAACAAAGAATGATAAAGGAAACTAATTAGAAATTCTGCAAACTATGATAACATTTTGCTAAATTATGCGGGGTGCATAAAACCACGGGGACAGATAAAAGTGACAATAAATATACCTTTGTTTGTGAAATACTTGATGTCCTTCGTGTTGACCACAATGTCCGGGTGTGCGGAGAGGGCGGTAGAGATCACGTGACCGCCACACTGGGAGAAGCCCACCACCAGCGCCCCCGGGCGGCGGGGATGTGGGATCAGGTGAGGCGGAAGTTTGTGCTGTGCGTGGTCCTTGACTGGAAGGTCGCGGCTAAAACCTAAACATGTAGTTTTATGATGTGTCACGCCGTGGTGGGATCAGGCGCTCGTCAATTTTTGGGCGTATTGGGTTATGGGTATCATCTTAAAGCCTGTTCATTTGCCTTCCTTTTGGTGAAATAAATACCTATCTATCTTGAACAGAAGTGAAGATTGTATGGGGAAGGGATGGAAAAGGGAGAAAAAATAAACACACATACACACAGAGAGAGAGAGAGAGAGAGAGAGAGAGAGAGAGAGAGAAAGTGAGAGAGAGAGTGAGAGTGAGAGAGAGAAACACACACACACACACACACACACACACACACACACACACACACACACACACATACATATACACCCACACACATACAATCACACAAACACACAAAAGACAGATAGATAGACAGACCGATAGATAAATAGGTAGATAGATAGATAGGTAGGTAGACAGACATACAGATAGATAGACAGATAGATAGATAGACAGACAGACAGACAGACAGACAGATAGATAGATACATAGATGGATACATAGATAGATAAATAGTTAGATACATAGATAGATACATAGATAGATCGATAGATTAAAAAGGAGAAATAAATCATGTAACCACGGAGGAACACACCGACCCGATGTGAGAGAGCGGAGATCGGTCTTGGTGATGACTCCTCTGGGTATCAGCATCCTGGACGTCTCAATATACACGACCAGCGCGCCTAGACCGCACACTGCGGCGAACGTAGAGATGAGTCCGTGGTTTGTGCGGAGGGCTCGCAGTCGTCGTAGGGAAGACAGGCGGCTGTAGTGGGTGCAGAAACATAGTAATATTATAAAAGATATTCCATGTATTTAGTTGGCCATTTTTTTCCCTGGAAATTGTGGATTGCGAGAAGAAGGTCACCTTTCCAGTATGAGTCACAATTACATAATGTACACATCAGGCTCTCATTGTTTTGGGGGCATTTGGAGTTATTGATGTCATCTTAACGGTTATTCATTTGCCTTGTTTTCGATGAAAAGACTATCCATTTATCTTGAATAAAAAATCGAGATATTTGCGATTGAAGAAGGTTTCGGAGGTAACGTTAGCCAGAAAATGGCCACCAAAGTCTGGTAACTTCAAATTAAAAACTGAAGATGAACATATTGTGTGCAGTTAATCAATGCTTTTCTGTAAAATTCACACAGAAAAGAATTGCGCTTAGACCACACACTGCGGCGAACGTAGAGATGAGTCCGTGGTTTGTGCGGAGGGCTCTCAGTCGTCTTAGGGAAGACAGGCGGCTGTAGGGGGTGCAGAAACATATTATTAAAGATATACCACGTATTCAGTTGGCCGTTTTTATGAACCGTCGAAACAATTATTTTTTTCTTGGAAATTGTGCTGGATTGCCAGAAGTAACATAGAAGTCACAATTACATTCACAAAATATCATATTGTAGGCCAGCTGTTCAGATGTAGGATTACAAATACACCGATTTTTTAAAAGATTGCAGTTTCAGATTTTGTGGTATTGGTTGCATGTGCGCATGGAAAATTTTTATCGAAACTCAAATTCTTAAGGGGTACGGTGGGGCACCTGGAGACTATCTCGGCTATTACAAACCCTAGAGAGCTAATATTTACAGTAGGACATCATGTATCATTGGGAATTTAAAATCTATTGTTTAAAAAGTGAATCTCGTTCGGTTTCCATGGAAACAATGGCCATATTGGATTTTGTATACCTATTTGATACCATTTTATTCACTTGTGTTTTCAAGAAATACACATTTAATTCGGCATGTCCTTAGGAAAAGTACAGATCTAAAAATTAGTTCGAGGAATTTCCGATATAGATCTATGATCTATGATCTATGCGTTAGTTTTCATTTTATGGCATTTACAAATCGGCCAATTTGCCTAACTGTGAAAAAAAACGAAAAATGAAGCTTTCGGAAGCCATTTATCAAAAAATACAAATGCGAGCAAAAATTCCTCAACCCACTTTTTAGAACTAGTTGCCGTTAACATTTATCTGTGAAAGTTACATTAAAATTGGATAAGAAACAAAATAGGAAAATGGAATGATGAGTGTGAAAATAGCATTTTGTGAAAACAGCCGATAAGGGCCAGAAAAGGCCAAAATAGTTCTCTTTCCAGTAAAAACCTTCACAACATATTTTAAACTATAACATGGCAACTACTTGATAATATTATTAACGTAGCAGAAATAGAATACAGGTTCCCTTTTAAAACAGAAGCATATAAGCGGTGCAAAACATGCTTTTTAAGACAAAAAGTGGCAATTATTTTCTTTTAAAAAATCCCTACCCTCTGCTCTAAAATCCCTTCAAACACCACTTTAATGTACAGAAACGCTTACATACGTGTTTAGACATGATAGCTCAGGAAATACCCAGGAAATATAATAAGTGATAACCCCAGTTTTCATAATTTCACCCTAAAACACAATTCTAGGTGCCCCGCCACTCCTAAAAGAATGTTGAAAAATTAAATAAAAACATAAATAATTTAGGTACAGCTTTTATCTTCACTGTGCCATAGCAGAAGCCTCAAGTCATATTTGTCCTATTTTCTATTTTGCTTAATAAGAAATATAATGTATTCTCATAATATGCAAATGTATTGGTTAACGTAAGACATTGATGGGCGAATAATACTTTTATTACACACACACACACACACACACACACACACACACACACACACACACACACACACACACACACACACACATACATACACACACACACACACACACACACACACACACACACGCAAAAGAAAGAAGAAAAAAAACCCTGAGACAACTACCCATAATGAAAGCATTAACTTACTGCGTGTGAGGTCGTGAGTAAGGTGAGGTCGTGAGTAAGGTGAGGTCGTGAGTAAGGCAAAGGATAGAGTCTGGGTGGACCCCCGCTGTAGTTCTGCGCCATTCTCACCACTTGCCCACTTGTTTATTATACCGCATCCCGCCTTCAGGAGCTGTGGTGATCAGATGTCGTGTATCTTAAACAGGGTGTAAACGTATCTGTTATCTTCCGATTTTTGGCGTCGGTAGCGTAGTGGTTATTCTACCGGACTTGAAACCGTGAGATTGTGGGTTCGGGGGTTCGAGCCACAGCTCGGTCCGACGTTGTGTCCTTGGGAAAGGCACTTTACACGAACTTCCCACTTGGCTCGGTCCTATCGGAGACGAACGTTAAACTAGGAGGTCCCACCCCTTAAATAACCTAACAGGGTTGATAGGGGCGTTAAACTCATACCATTTCACAATTTTGTTTCTTCCGATTTTTGAGTAGGATCTGCGTAGCGAGACCGGCGTTTGTAGTATATTGTAACACCAGAGACCTAACAATGTAAACGTGTTAACATTGCTAGTAAACATGTTAACATTGCTAGTAAAATGTTAACACTGCTAGTAAAATGTTAACATTGCTAGTAAAATGTTAACATTGCTAGTAAAATGTTAACATTGCTAGTAAACATGTTAACATTGCTAGTAAACATGTTAACATTGCTAGTAAACATGTTAACATTGCTAGGTCTGTGGTAAGACTAGATTAAGCCTTAGGCTCTGGCCACATTGCAAGCAGAGCGTGTAGAGCAGTGAAAACTACTACAAAGACAAAGAGAAGACTGGCGGAGCGATTTGAGGCGGGTCAGACCGCCAGTCACCTCTTTGTCTTTGTATTTAATATTCACCGCTCTGCTCTGCTCTGCCGGCTCTGCTTGCAGTGTGGCCAGAGCCTTATGGGACACTATAGGTACAGCTGAAGTGACAATGTTTGTTTAGATTCTAAATTAAGTATACTGGGCTTCCCAATAACCAATATGGGTCAAGAAACAGAAACACACTATCCTTATATATGATTTCACTGTTTATGTTCTGAATTCTTCACATGTAAAGGGTTCGACAGACCAAAATTTGCTCACATTCTGTGCAGGGATTCTGAAAAAGATTGAATTGATACAGCTTTGATATTTTAACACAGTGTTTTTTGTAGATACAACCTGCACCGTGCTAAAGATTAACTTTCCTAAGTTTCATGCTTTTCTTGTAACTGCCCTTTTAGTGTCATAAACGATACTCGGCCGAAAAAATTGATCACAAATCAGAGTGATACTGTCAATCTTTTTTACACTGACAGAAAATGTATAACAATATCACAATATTCTGTTAGTACGTTGCAAACATATTATCTAGAATCAGTCGTGCAAAGTGGGAATGAGCTGGGGCATGCACTTTCAGAAATATCTCTGCACAGGTGACCCACCCCCCCTAACAAAATCATAGTTTTGAGAAAACTGAAAAAAAAAACCCGAATTCATACTGGTCTATTTCAACAAAATGTTCACAAACATGGCATATGTGAGCACTTTATAGATGTTTTAGACACTTGAAAATATTTCCAATCGATAAAGCAGATGTTGCTCTACTAAAATAGTCCAAAATTGAAAAATCAGTTTTGGATACCAAAATCGACTTTTTCTGGCTGTCAGCTACTGCCGTGGTGTACCTTTTGCGCTTCGCCTTGACGCGCATGAGACCTGAGTTCGAATACTGTGTGCAGAGAATTAAAACTTTTATCGAGAATCTATTTCTGCTAAGATGTGTATTACTCTCAGTCCAGGTAGGCCCTGACTGGAAGGATTGAAGCCAGCCTCCTGAATCGTGTAATTTTCGTTGATGGTGGAGTTAAAAATGCTTACGTTCGGAAATCTGTAACTTTTTTGTTGCGCCGAGATCTTTTTGTTCCCCCTTGTTGATGTCGCAGTCAAAAGAGGCGCAACGTGGTTCATTTTGCTTGTTTTGTTTGATTTGTTTGCTGTGCGAGTACTCTGTGTTAATTAGAGTAGTATTTTGAGAGGATATATTTAGGAAGGAGGTTATTTGTTAGTTAGTTTGTTTGTTTGTGGCTTTTTTGTCAGAGGGTGTGATTTGTATTTTGTTTTTTCCTGCTTAGTTTGGCATTTTAAAAACACCATTTTTGGCTCATACTTATTTTATAGTTGCCAGATGGGATTATTTTGAGTTCCAGGTACAATCTTACCGATGTCAGGGCCCACTTCCAGATTTGATCCGATCATAGAGATCCGATTTTTCGATAAATGTGCACTCCCTTCGTAACTTTGTTTTGAAAAAAAGACAGCTGCTTCACGTCAGAAGCCGTAAATGTTATGGCAACAGGGGGTTGAGGCCGTTTATGCATTCGATATTGACATTTTGGTTTCGATCTGCACACCTCTTTCCGATTAAAAGAGAATTGTACGACCACAGACGAATGAGGGGAATACAGAAGGTACAAGCAATCCTTTATGTTTGAACTAGATCCTGTTTAGAACACCAAGGGAGCATTTTAAAATAGATAAATAAATA